ACGGATGAGCTCCTCTATCTCATCGCGGAGGTTTTTACAACTCTCGGTACTGTGACCGTGATCTTTGTGAAAACTGCAATATAGACTCTTATTTCTTTCATTGGGATTCCCCCTCAGACGGGGTGGCCACTTCACGTACGGGGCGTCCTTGATCGCCATCAGGATTTCAGCCCGCTTTGCGTTCAGTGGGGTGTAATCAGCTCGGTCCGCTACAGGAGCTTGAAACAATTGACCCGGCTTTGCCCCCTGAATTGTTTCCTTTTTCCTTTGGCTGTCCCCTTGACTGGAAGGCTCTCCTTCTCTCTTTCTTTTTTCGGGTGCACCCTCACCCTTTTGGTTGATCTCCTCTTCGGTGGCTATGAACTTGTTTGCAAGCTTCAGAAACTCGATTATGGTCGCGGGTTGGTTGACGACCATGTGCCATTTGAACTCTTTGTGCGTCACGCCCTTCTTGGCTACTGCAAGGCGTACGACGGGGTCCAGGCGCAGTATCTGCATACAAGCATCATTGAACCGCTTGAAATAGCCCCAGATGGACTCTCCCTCTCTTTGCACTATGTTGAGGAGACTTTATTCGGTTCGCGAGCATCGCTTGCTAGTGACGAAGTGGGATGTGAAGGCTTGTGCGAGTTGCGCCCAACTTCTTATCGACCCGGGTGCCAAGTTCCGGTACCACATGCGGGCTGCTCCCCTAAAAGTAGTGGAGAAGGCCACGCACATGCACGACTCATTGGCTCTCGCCAGGTGCATCTGTGACTGAAAGGCATCTACGTGATCATTCAGGTCGAACAACCCGTCATACTTGTCAAGAGGGGGGATCTTGAAGTCCTTGGGCATTGGGACTGCTAGGAGTTCGGAAGGCAGGGGGGACGGAATCGAGAGGAGGGGAGCTTTGACTTCGGCCGAGCTTACCTCTTCTTTGCCCATGAGCTCAGGCAAATCACGGGTGACAGATCGATGAGCTCAGCGGCGGCGTCTCTACTTCTTGGTGGGCTCGGCGTTCGTGCTGCTCACCTCTACGCTGTCCGGAATGGTTTGTGTAGGGAGTAGCTTAGTCTGCTAGCGATGGCTGCGAACAGAGGGGTTCTGCGTAGAGTCTGTTGCCAAGATCTCAAACTGGTTTTCAAGGATCGGGGTTCCAAACTTCGATTGTCGAGGTGATGTAGACCTGCCGAGACGGGGTCTTCCCGATCTGTTTGCCCGTGGCGAGATCGGGGTAGCCGCTCTTC